TTTCTTTGGCCTTCAGGCAGACACAGGCTGTGGTTCTTTGCAAGTTGGCATCTTGTAGAAGGAAGGCTTGCTAGAAGACTCAGGTGCTACGTCTAATCGTGATGCGGGAACGGTTGATATTCCCACATTCTGCGGTGGAATGGTCCTGTGCTGTGACGACGGGAGAAAAATCTGAAGACATGCAGCTGCTCATTTCTGGATATTGAATAGGCCAACCATCGATGTTCGCATATGTCTGCAGGAGAACTTGCTGAGACGGCGCTGCTTTGCTTACAAGTTCAACTCCAGTGCTATACTTCAGCTGTCCAGATTGGACGCACATTGCATGTGACAGAGCGGAAGTAGCCGAGGTGACCGTCACTTATGCCTTCGCATTTGCTGTGCTCGGCTTTGTTGTTCGTGGTGCTGCAAGATGATGGCGGCTTGCATGCACTGAATCCAGACATGCTCCTCAGCAGATCCCTATATTATATACCCTATAATCCCTATATAACCCCTATATAACCCCTATATAATCCCTATAATCCCTGTGGTTTCCATTTTCTTTTCCATTATCCCAATAGAACCTTCACGAAGCTAGCCTTGGAGCCAAAGGTGCTCATAGCTGCCATCAACATCATTTTTCTATCAGGCGCACGTGGTGCATGTTGTCATCTGAGGGAGCGGGCTAGCCTGGTACCTCTTGTTTGGATGTTTCCTGCCTTGGCAGTCAGACCATTTCCCAAGGCCTAGCGTCTTTCAGGACAGGATTGGGACAAGGGTAGTCGCAGTCTTTACCCCACTTCGAACAGGGGCTGTATCTTTGAAGGGTAGAACTTGGAACCGTTCTTGTGATGTCAAGCGAAGATGGCTTGCGCAGGTCCACTCAGCAAGCCTTTGTGGATTCCGATCAGTGAGCAGCTTGCTGCATGCCTGCATGTTGCAGCATGGGCGCGATCGCATCTGTCGCGTACGTTGTAAAGGCTGATTTAGCCTGGGGGTCGGTGTCGTCCTTGAGGAAGGGTGTACTGTCTGGTCAGCTCTGTTTGCCCAAGGCCTGCCAGCAATGTGATGACAAGCCGACGATCCCTGGCCCAATTCACTCGGAAGCTCCACTGCAGGGTGGTCTTGCAGCCTGCGAGGCCCTCTGTGATTCGTGCCTAAGCTCAACATTTCTTGAACGGGAATATGGCATAGAGGGCTCAATTGCGTCAGATATCCATATCAGTAATTTCGTCTTATTGGGACACACGCTTCCTAGTCGATTTTGAGGGAGCTGAAGCAGCGCCCCAGGCCTCATGAGCACGTAACGTTGGGCAGTGATGGCTGACGCTTTGCCTTCGGTCGGGTATTGTCACCTTGTTCGCTGAATTAAGCCCTTAGTTGTCGCGGGTAAACTCCTGCACACACTAGGCGTCCGTGCCTGTGCTTCAGGCATGCTAATCGGTCGATCTGCTTAGCGTTCTGGGCCCAAGGTATCCAGAGTGCCAAGCAGTGGACTGGTACAACAACACCAGGCCCGCGGGGGGAGGTTCAGGAGTCTGCTGCAAGTCAAAAAGGCCAGTCTGGCTTCATACCTGCAGTCTCCTCGCGCTTGCTCCAGCAGTAGAGATCTGCAGGGAATTTTGTGCGGCACTCTGCTTTGCCAGCACAGGTGGTGCAACCTGTACGCGCAGCCCTGTTTGAAGCCCACGGCTAGCTGGGATGGTGCAAGCTCCTATCAGAGCCTTGGAGAAATTGCTTGACGGTAGGCATGGTAGGCCGTGCACGCAACGTGGGTGGTGACGGGCGCACCTCACTAATCTTCAACTTGGGCACGCTTGACTAGATATCTGGATGTATACTGTATGTATACATGTGTAGGTTCTGGGCACAGCTGAATACGTATCGGGCTTGATAGCGTAGCTGGGTTGAGGCAGGTAGCTGACTTTCTTTGTGTCATGTTCACATTGTTCGCTCGCTTGCGGAACAGCACTTGCCCATCATAACCTAAAGGGGTCAGGTACGGTCTGAGCCTTGTGTAGCAAGCTGTGAGCCGTCCTCGTCAGGATGGCGGTGACTTGTGCGCTGTTCAACGGCACCCGCGGGGTTCTGATTGGTGGGCACTGTATCGCCGGCATAGAGCTTCCGAACACGTGGACGGTCGTGCAGCTCAGCTGAGAAGTGGGGTCGCAACTCCTTTGCATGTGAGATGTGTGGAACAGTCATTGCTGGAATCTGGAATGCTAGGGTCCACGACCGCTACGACCTCGTATTAAGTTTTTCCTGACATCTCAAATTGACCTCGGGGCCTTGCCCCAGTGATTCCAATGGCAGGTACGGTTCGAATTCTCATAGGAAGTGTGACGCGTAATCCTATCAGATTTGACCCGCAGACTGTAGGTGGAAGGGGCCTAGAGTAACTGCCGGCAGCTCTGCCCGGTGAAGCCACTAATGCAAATGACTTGTGACTAGTCGGTGGCCTGACATAGCAACAAAAGCCACATACTCCCCTTGTTTGCAGGGAGCACGAGATTCCCACGCTGCTCTCTTCACCAAGAAGTTGGCTTTGCTCGCTTGGCGTGGCTTTCATCTACACGTACGTCACGTGCCTCGGGCCGGTTTAGGCAAGCCTCTGAAAACTAAGCAATTTGGACTGGCGCCTCACTTGTGCATGCAAACACATAAGGCATCATGACGCTTTCATTAATCCCCTTCCCCTATATTACAGCCTCCCACCCTCTGATATTAAATACTCCCAATATATGACAATGTATTCACATAATGGGAGTACTTAATATTAGGGAGGTGGGGGAAGGTTAATATTAGGGAGAGGGGATTAAGTGGTCTTGCCACTGCCAGTCAGGAGTCAGTCAGGCCTACCTTGCTGTTGTGCCCATGGCGACAAATGGGGGTTCCCCACAATTAGGGGTACCGCTTTGGTTATAAAGGGTTCTATAGGGTTACACATGGTTATATAGGGTACAGGGATTAGGGTTTAGGATTTCCCCAAAATTAGGGGTACCATTTGGGGGGTCCTAATAATAAGGCTCATAGTATTTTGGGGTTGTATTGGGCCCCCTTATTTGCGGAAACTACCAAATGTCGGAGCCTTGCCTTATGTGCTTTAGGCTGAAGGTATGTTTCGCCACCAGTGTGAGTCCAACGGAAGTCCGGGCTGCGACAACAGCAGACGCCCATGTTCCAACACGCACATCCTTAAACCCTAAACCCTAAAAACAACCCACAAACATCCTAGCTCGGAACCCTCACAAAAGCCCTACAAGAATCTTCTGTCAGGGGCCTCAAGACCAAGCAAGCACGTATACCAGATGAATGGTGCACCCCTACTTACTGGTGCTTAGTATGGAATAAAGGGAGTACAATCCCTTATGTGATCCCTATACAACCCCTGCTAAGCCCCAGTAAGTAGGGAACAAAGGGAATATAATCTCAGTATCATCCCTATATGAGCTACAGTCTAAACTCCTTGAAGGGGTTCTATAGGGGAGTATTATATGGGTAAGTAATGGGGATGCTAGGAGCTCATACAATGTATTCAATGTATTCCCTTATTTCCTACTAAGCCCCAGTAAGCTCATGGAAAAGCAGGTCAAAGTGGCTTCGCGAGAAGATGCGACCAGTCGTGCCCTGACCAGAAACAGGAGTGGCATGAATGGCAAAGGGTTGTAAGTGGGGGTTTCCCAAAATTAGGAGTCCCTTTTTGGGGGTACCCATGATAAGGTCTACATGTTTTGGGGGTCTGTATTGGGGTCTCCCTAGTTTTGAGAAACTACCAAGTGCAAAAGGTGTACAGTCAACGCCGGGCGGAACGTTAAAGTGATAATTGATAAGTTCCGGGAGTGGTCGTGCTCGGCATTGCCAGGGACAACTAAGGGAGGTGGTGCGTACTCGGTGTATGGATGCTAGTAGGTCTCTCCACCTATGTCCTTGGAACATTATTCAGTGTTTTGGTTGAGGGGTTTTGGAAAACACCCGGAGGATGCAGCTGCCCCACTTGAATCAATGTTGCAGACCTGGATGGTGGTTTGGACTTCTTCCGTTTAGATGCAGTACACACCGTCTCTCCTCATCACTCTGCCAGGTGAGCAGACTATCCCCAAAGAGCCCTTGGTTTCGAAAGGTGCCCTGCCTGCAACAGAGGCACAGGTAGTCAGGAAGGCATTTTTTGAAGCAGTGACAACTCATGGGCCAGTTACAGAGAAAATCAGCTAAATCCTAAACCCTATTTAGTAGTTTCCATTTTATTTTCCGTTATCCCTATACAATCCCTATATAATCCCCTATACCACCCCCTTTAAGGAGTTTAGATTACCATCTCTGAGCCTCTGCGAACTTACGAAGGCCTTTGCCCGGCTGCTGCTGCCACTGCTAGCGGTTGCCGCCTGGGTCGCTTTCACCAGCCACGAATGGGGCTGGTCAGCGGTTAAGGAAGCCGCTCATGGAGCAAGCGGAGGAGAGAAGGGGTTTACTCGGCAAGATTGAAGGCATGAACATTGGGCATTATAGGTTATATTGGGGTGGTATATTGGGGTAATATTGGGAGAATGGAAAAATGGAAGCTACCATTATGTAGAGTATATACCCTAAATAATAGTAGTTTCCATTCTTTTCCATTATCATTGGGGCAATATTGCCCAACACAGCACTATTATAGGTGTAATCTTAAACATTTGGGCCTTCAGACACTACACCATCAAGTCATGAGAATTCTTGGAGCAGAGGCTTCAAGCATGATCTCATCATTGTGCATCTGAGCTATGGTCTAACTCCGTAAAGGAGATTACATAGGAGGGATTGTATAGGGCTTATGAAGGGGGATACTAGGAGTTAAGACTATGGATCATTTAGTGCAGGAGGATTTCAGCAAATGCCCCTTGAGCAGAAGATCTGGTTTGGGGTCAGCCTCCTGCTGTTCCTCATGCTGTGCCTGGGCTGCCGCCGTTATATCCTTTATAGACACAAGCGGACGCATCGCCAGACCCTTGCTCCCGAGTCGCGCAAAGAAAGTGCAACCTGAGGCTTTGCCCATGGTCCCGCAGCATCATCATCTCGGGCATGCTTTCCCTGGGTGCTTGCATCATGACGGCTGCTCGACAAAAATTGGGGAGAAAGCGCTAGCTCAGCTGTCGCGCTGAGTGAGTTGCGGCATCCATAACAGTAAGTCTGTTGTTTTGGGTTGTCGTGGTCTTGCACGAAAGCTGGCGCGAGGCTCCTGCCAAGGCGCCATGGGGGCATGCATACGCTTCATGTCAGCTACTAAGGCATTCATGAACGTGGCTGGATTGGCACTCTCTGGCTGCATAGACGTGACTGTGCCTTGCTGGCAAAGGTACAAAGCCTGCCAACTGCACAGTATTGACACTGCTGAAGCTTTCCATATCCATTCCTCCTTGCTGAATGCCTCTGCCTTTATTATCAATTTAGCTACTACCATCGGAGGGTGTCCCTGCCTGTGGTGCGCGTCTGTTAGCCCAGTTTCCTCAAGGCTGCGACAGCAACGATCGGCGGTGTTACTGCGGCTGGCGCCGCAGAAGCTGCGGTTGCCACAGAAGGCTCAAATGCTTTGGGTTTATAAAGGGATAATGGAAAAACAAATGGAAACTCGTATTTAGGGTTTCGGTTATAGTCCCCTTTAAGTAGATAGAAGATGGCTTTGGGTATATTTATAACCTAAGGCAGGCATGAAGAGAGAAGACTTTGTCTTGTACTGGCCTTCGGTTAGCTGGGAATGAAAGAGTGGAAAAGAAAAGAACTAGTGTAGTGGGTTATGTAGGGACTACTAGAAGGATCCATTCCTTCATTCCTAGCTGGCCGGAGGCCAGTATCGGGCTTGAAAAGGGTTGGAGTTTGAGCCACTAGGACTTCCAAACTGAGAGTGTGAGCGGGAGCAGGCGACAGGGAGCACCGGATACAAATAGATTAAGTCAACTTGTCTGAAGCCATGCCTGGAAAGATGCTTCAGGCACAGCTGCGGGTGCAGCTGCCTTGGAGGCCTGCGACTGGGGTTGGAAACAAAAGGCCACAATGTCCAATGCCTGAGTGCGTTAACATCTCCTGCTGCAAGAATTGTGCGGGGTATTAGAATCCCACCTCGATCACTTGGAGCTTCGGACTGGGCAGGAAGCTGCAAAGATCACTAGGCCACTAGGCATGGCTTCCGGCTGTAGATTTGCAGGCAGGAGTGGTGGGAGATGGTGCGGTTGGCGCAGAGGGCGCGATTGCAGCTGACACGGTGATGGGCTCAGCCGGAGGATGCGTCTTGCATTCAAGCTTCGGAACAAATGACGTCCACCTGACCTCGCCGCATGGAAACGCGCCAGGCCGCAGGAGGCACAGCAGCAGCCGAGGCCTCTACAGACTTATTGTTGCAGAAGATTTACTTGTGTACTGATATGAGTCATGCATAGGATAATGCACATGTGCGAGCGGTGTAAGGCCCGATATGTCATTATGTAGTTCTGTAGGATTCTGTAGGTTCAGCAGCAACGTGTAAGAACTCTAAGTCTAAGTCAATTCAGCAGAAAGCTGCCAGGGAGCCACGGCGGCAGAAGCGGCAGTGGCAGCTGACGCGGCTGTGGCTGCAGAGGCCGCCACCATGGCTGAAGGCGCCCGGGCTGACATGACAGCAAGTCTGCCATAGGCCTCCTGCTTTCAAGCTTAAATTCTGAACTTTTTTTTATAATGTAGTTAGTGTGCAGCGAAACCATCCACGAGGTCTGAGCGCCCTGGCTCTGTGCACGATCATGCTGCTTGCCAGCATGGATTGTCTTCAAAGTCCAGTCATGTCAAAAACAGGGCTGACGACATTGACAGGCGCATTAGGGGGTTCCTGTTGAATCTAGAACCGTGGGACAGAAGAAGCACACCCTTGCCAAGCGCAGGCACAGGTTCCAGATGAAAGCGAGCATGTACTTGATGTGGTGTTGTTTTCCCAACTATGCGCACTTATTGCAGTCATTCTCAAGCTGCTGCTCTGGACCGACAGACCAGCTTGAGCAAGTGTCTCTCACAACGCCGGTCATTCTAGCAGCTTTGCATTGATATGTGACTGCGCCTGCCCAAAATAAATTACAGTGAAGCAAGAGAAGCAAGTGTCAGCTGGTGCAGCCTCAATGACGCTACATCGTGTGCACGCTTACGTTCCCTGCGTGGTTATGCGGATAACATCGGAGGTGACATTGGACGCGAAGCACATCATGTGGCCTTGGCCCGTGGCATGTGCTTTCATTTCTGTACAGCATGGTGGTCAACGTGAGGGAGGTTCAGATTTGTACTGAGCAGGCAGTGACAAGAACATAAGTACTTAGGCTGTTTTGTGAAGAGTAGTACCATTTCCCTCTCAAACCGCAATGGAGGTCAAGTTTGTGATGCTAGCCTGCCCACCCACGTTCAGCTGCAAGGCTAACATGCGGCGGGTTGGACAGCAGATTGCTAGCAGCAACACCTGCTACAACAATTAAAAATTGTGCTTACATGCAGATGGCGCGTACTGCTCCTGACATGGAAAGTTCGCAGGCATTTGCTAGCGAGGTGTTGCTGTTACTGCAGCTAGCTCAAGCTTCGTTGCTTGGGCACCCAGTTTCCATAGCGCCGCGCAGATCGCGCGACTCGTAAACCCCTGAAGGGAGCGGTGGGACAACAATCTGCCCTGTGCCATTTCACATATCTTGTTCCCAAGACCCAAATCAGCAACAACCCCAGGGTTGCATGGGCAAAGGTTTGCAACAGTGCTGCCTGAATCAGTCTGCAGGTTTTGCTGGATAGTGTATGCTAGTGTTGTGTGTAAGCCTATGAGACAGAAGCTAAAGTGGTTTCGATTTGTCAAGAGTGCTGTGAGCAGCTCTTCTACCTGACCTGTGCCGGTTCTACTTGCAGCATCTCGGTCCAGGGGATGCAGTTTTGTGCTGGTACCATCAGTGTAGCGCACACCCTGGCCCTGACCAAGCCGATGGAGGTGGCAGGCGCAGTCAGCTCATATGCAGGCGGGCAGAGTTAAATCATGCCACTGCGTTGAGGACGAAACTATCTCCACTGCTCTTGCAGGCCTCCGTGCCCTTCGAACCGCTCAGAGACCAGTAGCCGGCCTGGCTACACAGGCAAGATAGGGCCATTTATGAGGGGTTAGCAGATCAGCTTGCAACATGCACGCGGCCTTCCGCAGATGTTTGGAGCTTTCCGTTCAGCTTGGTGTCTCTTGCAGGCTACAACTGCATGGCCTCAAAGCACTTCAGCGCCAAGAAGAGGCCGAGGCTGTAAACTTATTGGGGCCTCTGCACTGGACAATTGCTAGCTGGGCTCTGTCGGGTCGAAACGTAAGGGATTCGACTGGGCACCAATCATGAAGCTGACTGCAAGGAACGTAAGGGATTGCGACTGGGCACCAATCATGAAGCTGACTGCAAGGAGATGAGCTCAGATGGAAGTTTTGATTTCCCGTAGCCTGCAGCAATCCACACGACAATCCCGTGCATTATGCTTTCGCGCAGGGGCGCTCACCGCTGGAACTGCGACGGCTGTCCTTGCTGGAGCCTTGTCCGGCATCCGGCGGGGCAGACGGTGCATCGGACGGGAGAGGCGACAATCGTTGAACCCAGAAGTGTCCCGCAGGACTAGCTACGTGCTTCGAAAATCTGCCTCAAAGTAAAGTTGCTCCCGTTGAACATGTTGGCTCATTTCATGCCTCACCCACGGGCACCTTGCTTTCAGACTGCGGAATGTGGAGCAATGTAGGGGATGTAGGAGAAGCCAGTGGGCATCGACCTTTGCAGCACAATGTTTTGTGCTTGACAGGTGCCTTGCAGTACTGACGAAGGCAGCCAGTGCGACAGAAGCCACCCTCGCTGAACCTGCGCCTCAGATATTGATACTGCTGAGATCTGGTGAGACGCATACCCGAAAAGAAAATGGAACCTATTAGAATATGTGGGAGTTATATAGGGATAATGGAAAAGAAAATGGAAACTACTATGAAGCTTCCTTTTTCATGGCTGCACACCATTTCTCATTTCTCATTGCTTTGGGTCTTTGTCCCAGGTGCCTGTGATTCTCCTCAGCGGCTTCTTGGGCACGGGGAAGACAACTTTACTGCGCCATTGGCTGGAGAACTCCACTGATCGCGTGGGACGTTTGTCAGCAGGCCTAGCCAGATGTACTGTAGTCTAACCTCCTTACAGGGCATACAGAGGAGTATATAGGGGACTGCCATGGAGGTTGTTCAGGGGATGCTAGGAGCCTAGACCATGGCTCAGATGAGTGACCAATTCGCCAGCTTTGCTACCAGTGAGGTATGGCAGTGTTGGTGAATGTGCGCGTGTATATAGGTTCCATTAGAAATATCGGTGTTTCCATTTTCTTTTGCATTATCCCTGTATAACACCTATATAACTATAATCCGTATTATCCTAAAATCATCCCAATATTACCCCAATGGGGTTATATGTATATGTGGTATATATGTATATCTTGGGTGTCCAAGTTGGGAGACCAACAGTAAGACCACAGGTCACATACCTCTTGCAACGGTTGAGCCCGCCTGCTGAGGGATCGTGGTCAATGACGTTGCTGCAGTCAACATCGACTCAAAGCTGGTGCTGTGCTCAATCTGGGTGACGGCAGAATCATTTGGCAAGCCTATATTGTCACAGCATTATTCTTACCATGACTATTGCTATTACGATTACTATTACTATTCCGATTACGCACTCAAGCAGTGGACCCATTGAAATCTTTCACCCAGGTGCAGCAACAGACTTACAATCCTGAGGGGGAGGTGAACGCCATCCAGCTTCAGTCTCCTGGCAAGGTGTTCAGATCTCGTGAAGCTCCCTGGCTGGCTTATAGTCTCCCATAAGTAGATAGAATATGGGGTATATGGGGATCTTATCATAATACATCCCAGAGCCATATTCTATCTACTTAAGGGGGACTATAAGCCCAGGGCTGGGACAGCATGAGAAAAGCAAACATTTGGTTTTGCAGGAATGGCTGTGCTTGCTGCTCGTTGGGGGATGAGCTTCTGGTAAACATCTCCGATTTGCTGGAGCTCGCCACTGGGGACAGTCAACATGCAGACGGAAGCGTGCGCACTTTGAGAATCTCACTCCAACAAAAAACCTTGAAGATAGGTCATGATATGTCAGATAAGTACGTAGCGCAGGACAGGCCCTTCAGCCAAATCGTTGTGGAATTGCTCCTGGGATGCAGGAAAGTGCAAACTCCGTGCCAGCTTAGTTTTTCTGGATGTAGGGGAAAGTTCAGACTGGGGCTGAAAGATTTGGCCACGTTGCCTCTCTAGCCCTGTGGGGTATTGTCTGGCGAGCTGTGAATATGCGCGTAGGTGCGCACCTGTCCGCGCAGCTACTCTTTGTGGACTGTTGTGGGAAACAAGAATTGCGGGGAGCAGGCTGTATTCGATGTAACAACTTAATAAGCTAAACAGCGATGCTGCTTAGCCTTGTGCCTGCTATGCTAAGTTTTGCTATAGGCACGGATAGCTACCACTACAGTGTAGCTGCTAGGACTAGGCGCAGTAGCGGGCTTGACCGATTTGGCTCAAGGAAAAGTCACATTGCATCACTTTCTTTCCTTGCCTGAGTACCTTCGTGTATTCAACTTACTCCTCCAGAACCCTTCCTAAGGAAAGGCTGCAAGATAAACAGCACAAACTTAGTAAGCACTTCTCGTTCGGGACCTCGCCGTTCTTAGAACTCCTGATGTGTGGGACGGCACAACGTGACAAGGAGTGGAGTAGCAGAACCAGACCGTGTCCGTGAGAACTTCCAGTCGGCCAAAGAGTCGGGGCGGCTTGTTTCTACATGTATTGGCTTGGATTTTTGAATGCCTACGAGGTGCAGAAGTAGCTTTTGCATCTGACCCGGCTCAAGGTACTACGTTGTGAACGGAGTGGAGTTGAGCAAAGTTGTCACATTGCTGGACGCCTCAACTTTTTGTGAGGCACGGGATCATGCAAGACATGCAATGCCACTATGGTTACTACTGGTAGGTCAGAGAGAGTTTTGGGAACTCCTCGCCCACATAATCATAATTATCAGATTTGACGTGCGCCGGCTCTCCAGAGGAGTACATGGAGTTCTCGAAGCTGTACGAGCGAGAAGACCTGATTGATGGCGACGTAGGGGAAGCTTTGCTGCACAGACTGATGGCATCTGCCAGGGGTAGCGTTGCGATTCGTATGTGAGGGATTTCCTCAGTGCTCATGGGAGACTCTAAGCATTGCACCTTAGCGCGTTGCTGTTGGCTTTCAAGCAAGGAAATGGCAGAGTGTGGCATTGTGGAGTTGCTGGTGGAACAGACCGAGGCCCAAAAGAGTCACCGCCAGCTTCGTCTTAGTGGGGTAGTCCTTGAGCCATCTAAACCCCTCTTCCAGCGTGTCCTGAGGGAATTTGCTGGAGCCGGGTATAGGACAGCAACAGTGCCAGCAGCAAAGATCTGAATGTTGTCGCGACGTGGTTCCGTCTTAAGTTAGTCGGGTGACTTGTGCAAGTGAGCGTGTTGATTGCAACGTCGCAGCAATTTTTGGGCTGAAGCTCTCCCCTGTGGAAACGGCACTCACTTGCCAATCTGAACGGCCGTTGCGTGTGACCCCATGGCTGGCA